CACACGAAGACCCGGGCCTTGCAGGTCCCAACGACCGTGGGTACCAGGTGCGTGTCTGAGCTACCCGCAGGGGCTTACATTACAGTAGACATCCTGGAAGTTCTGCCCCCCAGCGATTCGAGAAGTGGGGAGTCGGGCTCGCACGCGGTGGTCTTGGGAGAAGGAGGAAGGGATGCAGTGGGGTAGTGGCCAGTGGCAGGGTCCAGGCATCAGGCGTCTTGGGTTTTTTTTAGACATGTCTAGACATATCGACACCTTCCGAATAGTTTCTCGTCCAAAATGTTTCGAAACAGTCCCAGAGCCCGAGAGCTGCTCCTGAGTGTCACAAGTGGCGAACAACATGTGTCGTCTCGATTTATCCGATTTCTGTGGGGCCAGAGAAGGGGAGCCAGGGAGCATCTGAGGGCACCAACTATTCGCCTGCACCGATCCTGGCCTGGCCGGCCTCGGGCACAGCGTCGGTGTATATCCCTTGCAATCTAAGCCAGGAGGGCGTATGCGCACATCTTGGGCCGAGGACATGCCCTGCTAGGGTCGGTGCTGGTGGTTCGTTGGGGCCGTCCTTAAGCATCCACCATCTTATGAGCATGTGACGATTGCCGAGCGCGTGCCTGCCTCCCCTCTCCCCGAGGTGCTCACGTTCCCCCTGATCGGGAACTACGGCGTGCCAGACGAGGACGCTCCGATGGGTGCGCGCGCAGGTGGGTCCACGACGTCGCGGAGGGAAGGAGTTGGCGAATCAGATGCGAGGCGGCCGCTTTTTGGATGGGTGCGCGTCGTGTCTCCGAAGGCCGCTCGAACCCGACTAATTCACCAAGATTGCGAAGCTCTAGGCCACCCTTTGCCATTGAGTATCCTCGTTTGCCAGCACCAGAGGCTCCTTGGGCTAGCTATGATGCCGAGCATGATTGAAGGCAGCGGCATTGATGCGCGTGTGGTCTTCCGAGTAAGTATGGTTGGCAAGTGCCCGGGGCCTCCGGAGTCGTGTGTTTGAGGGTTGATAATGAACACCGTGCCTTGGGCGGTACACATGTCTGCAGGGATATTCAGGTTGCACTTCGGAGTTTTCCACACCGCTTGCTGTTGTGTTTTTTGTTTTCGCCCTCCAGATGATTGGCTGGCGTTCCCGGATCTTCGCGGCTCGTGGGCGGCTGGCGGATGCCCCGCGTGTTGGCCCGGGCGTCTGTGGGCGGCTCGTGGGTGCTTCGTGTGTGTCTGGCGTTCTGGCGTTCAGCCAGGCTTATTGATGGGATTCATTTCGTAGTTTCGCGCCGCATAGATAGCATTACATAGTTTGCAACCCAAAGGCGCGCGCGTGCTAAAGTCAGAAGATCGCCATCACGCTTTTTGGTTGGGCCACTTTGTATGACCATACCCTGCGGGACACATGCATGTCGAACACATAGAAACATTCTTCGCGCACCCACTAATCCTGCCAAGCACTACCATGCGGGCCACGCGCGTGCGTCTACGCGCGCGTAATCTGAAATCTTTATACCATCAGGTGCTTTCTCAGCATTGTAATGTAGAGGTGCTCGAACACATAAGAATTTACGTGGATTGTAACCGCACGCTTTGTCCGAACAATTTCTGCGCGCGGACTTCCTGAGCGTCCTCATTAACCAGGAGTCACCATTTGCATTATCACTTCCAGCGTCGTCATGGCTACAGTCATCTTCATCGTCGTCATGACCCCCACCGTCATGCCAGGGGGCAGGAGGCCCACCCGAAGGACTGGGAGAACGGACGGCGGTCGCGCCCACTCGCGGGCGACCAGGTTCGAGCGGTGTTGGACCGCTACCAGCGGCAATGCGGTTTTGGGCGGGACAGGCTCCACCCGAGGTTGCTGAAGCAGCTGCCCGACGGCTACAACGACAGGTTGGCAAATATTCTCAACATGTGGGACCATGATGCGAGGCCCATGATTATTTGGAGCATGGTGACGGCGTTTTTGCCCATACCTGGCGGCGGGCTCAGGCCGGTCCACCAACTGGCGTTCGCTATGCGGTTGTGGAGCAGGATCAAACAGCCGCTCGTGGGCGAATGGGAGGCAGCGCTGAAGGGCAGGAACACTTCTGGGGTTCGGCTGCGACGCCCTGTGACATGGCGGGGATGGTGTCAAACCTGGTCGCCTGCCATGCTAGGAAGGTTGGGCTTCGCGCGTGGCGCGGGGCTCTCGTACTTGGCGAAGTTCTCCGAGCACCTCTCGCACCAACGCGCTGCTGCTGGAGGACGAGGTGGCTGCGTTCCCGCGGGATCTCCTGCACCTGCTGTGCGTGGGCCACCGCATGCCGAGGAGGGCGAAATGGTTCGAGCTGGTCAGCGAAGAGCTGCAATGATAATGGGGCGCTTGCAGCGGGCTGCTCGTGTGCAACAGGGCTTGCGAAGGTCTAGATCAACGGGGCCCTATGCAAACTTGCCAGGGAGTGCTCGCTGGTGAGGTGCCGGAATGTGGTCGATGTCTCGGCGGCGGGCAGAGCAGAGGATCTGAGGAGACAGTTGCCCGAGGCCATGCCCAAGTAAGCCAACTTGCTGGAGGCGAAGGACCTGGTGGTATCCTGGCACAGTGCCAAGTTCATGGCGGTTGATGAGGTGACGGCGGGGGCCCTGAAGCTCATCGTCGCGGAAGAGGACCCCGTGCTCGAGAGGGCCTCGGGCGCCGGGAACCCTGGCTGCGACGTCGACGACGGCGCGGGGCAGGCGAGCAGCGCGGCCAGGGCGGCCGAGGCGGCAGGGCGCGCGCAGGCGCTCCGAGCGGTCGGAGCGGCGACTGCCGGGCGCCTGCAGAGGATCAGCCCGAGGCGATGGCGCCGCGGGGCTTGGGAGCCACGGGCGTCGCGGGCCGCGAGTTGCGCCCGCTCCGCGTCCAGGTCGCAAAGGCGGAGGGGGGGGGGCCGAGAGGGGCGGTGGCGCACCTCAGGATTCGTCGCGATGGGGAGGCCAGCGCGACCCTGGAGGGTTGGCGGCGATGGGGGCGGCCATGGCGCGGGCGACGTGCGCGGTGGAGATGGAGATGTGCCGGCAGGAGGCGACGAGTCTGCTGGAGACGGAGAGTCCCCGGGCAGCGGCGGTCAGCCCAGCGGGCGCCGCGTGCCTAGCCATGGCGAGAGCGGGCGTCGCGATGCCGTCGGCCTCCGTAGTCGCAGATGCCGATGGGAGGGGCTCGACGCGAGATGGCTGGGGCCGGCGCTCGTCGGCGAGGTCGTCGGGGGGGTCGGCGAGGGGGGGGCGCCGAGGCGGTGCCAGCCTTGGGCAAGAGGTCTGCCTGGGGAGGCACCGTGCGCTGGATGCGCGTCGAGGAGCTGATTGCCGAGGAGGAGTCGGAGGCCTGGGGCGTCTTGCATGAGGGGGCGCCGAGGTGCGCAGCCGGAGGCTCCGCGCGGGCGCGGGCGGGGCTGTGCGACGGGCGCCTGGCCGCGACGGGCAATTGTGGGAGGTGCAGGAGGCGGGGGGGGGCGCGCCGTGGCATCCGCACTTCGGCTGCGAGGCGGCGCTCGGCTCCAGGGGGGGCGTCTGCCCAAGTGCGGTGCTGCAGGCGGCGAGGGGGGCGTCGGGGCATGGCGACGAGGCCGGCGAGAGTTTCGCGCGAGGCCGTCTCGTGGAGGCCTTGCGGGCGTGGATGGCGCCGCGCGAGAGGCAGCGTGCAGAGGAGGTCCGCTGGGCGAGGCCGGCGGGGGGCTTTTTCCAGGGCAGGGTCTGCGTGGGCGGGTCGGCCTCGGGCCCGGCCGACGAGGTCCTCGGGGGGGCTAGCTGGAACATCGCGCATCTCGGCGGGGGGGGCCAGGTCCTCGGCGCGGCGCGCGGCGCGGTGCCGCTGGCGTGGGCCCCGACTCAGCTGGCCTGTGGCGGCGATGACTGCGCGCCCCATTTCTTGTCGGGCTGTTCGCGGGGGCCGATGGGGATCTCCAGCGACTGCGCGGGATCCCTCGGGATGGCGACGGGCGTCGGCGCAGCGCTGGCCGGAGGGGCGGCGAGGAGGCATCTCTGGGAGAGGTGGCGGCTCGAGCTCGGCGACCACGGCGAGGTCTGGGGCAGAGGTTGAAGCCCGCAGGTCGTCGTCGGCGCGCGCGGCCGAAACGGGGGGGCGGGCGCGCGAGGACAGCGGGCGAGGCGGGCACCAGAGCCAGGGAGGGCGCAAGGCTGTGGGGTCATTAGCCACAGAGGGCGCTCGCAGCAGAAGGGGCGCACTCATTGGCCTAGCAGACAGCGAGGTGGATCAAGGAAAGAGCGTGTTCTACCGCTGCTGGCGGAAAACCGGGGGGGGTCACTACCGGTTCGAACCCCTCCCCCCCCCCCCCCAGAAAACCGGGGGGGGTCACTGCCGGTTCGAACCCCTCCCCCCCCCCCCCCTGCTCATCATGAAAAGGGGGGGGGGTCACTACCGGTTCGAACCCCCCCCCCCCGAAAATCCGAAAACCGTGTGGGGGTGCGGACAGTGGTGGGGACGGTGTTGGTGGGGACAGTGGTGAGGGGATAGCGGGACAGTGGTGGGGACAGTGGGACAGTGGGACAGTGGTGGGGACGGTAGTGGTGGGGACAGTGGTGGGGACAATGGTGGGAACAGGGGGGGACAGTGGACAGTGGTGGTGACGGTGGTGGTGGGGACAGTGGTGTGGGGACAATGGGAATGAGGTGGAAACAGTGGGACAGTGGAGGGTACAATGGTGGTGGGGACAGTGGTGAAGGCGGTGGCGAGGACGGCGGTGGGACAATGGGACAGAGGTACAGTGGGGACAGTGGTGGGGACAGTGGGGACAGTGGTGGGAACAGTGGGACAGCTCAGTGGGACAGCGGAGGAGTCAGTGGGACAGTGGGGACAGTGGGGATAGTCGGGCAGTGGTTGGGGCCGTGGAGACAGTGGGGAGAGTGGAACCGTGGTGGGAACAGTTCTGGGGACAGCGGGGACAGTGCGACAGTGGTGGGGCCACTGGTGGGGACAGTAGGGGCGGTGGTGGAACCAGTGGGGACAGCGGTGGTGAGGACAGTGGTGCTGGGAACACCAGTGGGGGATGTGATGCGGACGGTGGTGGGGACCGGGAGTCGTTTGCTGGCGGTGGGTAGGGGGGGGTGGGGGGGGGGGGGGGGGGGGTTCGAACCGGTAGTGACCCCCCCCGGTTTTCCGGATCCGGAGGGGGGGGGGGGAGGGGTTCGAACCGGTAGTGACCCCCCGGTTTTCGAGCGGGAGGGGGGGGGGGGGGGAGGGGTTAGGGGAGGGGGGGGGTTTTGCGGGGGAGGGGGGGGGGGGGGAGGGGTTTCCAGCAGGGGGGGGGGGGGATTTTCGGAGGGGGGGGGGGGGCGACCCCCGGGTTCCGGAGGAAAAGGTTGGCAATTTTCCACAGTAAAGCGGCGGTGGATCACGCTCTCTCGGATCAAGCTGTCGCCAGCATGGTGGCAGTCCCAGGCCGCGGGCGCAATGGGCTCGCCGAGCGAGACGGTCGTCGAGCTTGAGGTCGCGCCCGTGGTGTTGCAGAGGGCCGGCGACATGGCGCAGGGGGGGGTGAGGGGGCTGGGGAAGCTAGTCAGGAGGCTGGCGCAGAGGCTGGGGGCGCGCGGCTGATGAGGGTGACCTCGGGCCAGTGACCATGCGGCTGGGCGCCGCCTGGTGGGGCGCGAGGGCGACGGCGGCGAGGTGAACCTGGCGCGCCGAAGATGCGGGGCCGACTCGATGCTGCTTGGCCGTCGGGAGGAGGCGAGGTGAGCTGCTCTTGCAAGAGTGCCGAGGCGAGAGCAGGGGCTGAAAGGATCAGTTCAGGAGGCAGATGAGAGGCTTGCGCCCGCTGCCCCGCAGGCGGGCGCGCAGGTGCGACTTCAGAGATGACGTCGGAAGAGCGCTGTGGCAAGAGCTGGGGGCGGCGGCTGGCGAGCAGCTGCACGTGCCGGATGACGCCCCGACGGGGCGAAGAGGGGGGCGCGAGGCCGGGGGGGGGCCCGAGGTCTACGGCGGGGCCCTGCCGCGTAAGCCGCTGGGCGACTTCGCCACGGCCTACGAGGTCGACGAGGAGGGCTTGCTGGCCCTGGGCAGGAGGGCGAGGGCAGCCGAGGCGGAGGCCGGGGGCAGGAGGCCTGCCCGAAGGAGGAGGGGCAGGGAGGTTCTCGGCCGCGCGTTCGCGGATGTGGGCGGCTGCGGCAAGGGCGCGGCGGGCGCTCCAAGCCGACTGCGAGGGCGGCCGCGCGCTGCGGGGCAGCCGGAGTCAGAGGTGGCTAGCGCGGAGGGCGCGCAGGCCAGAGGACCGGCACGGCCAGCTGCGCGGCAGCGGGCATGTCGGTGGGCGCCTTGCGGAGCCCGCCGAGGAGGACGGGGCCTGAGCTGCGCTTGCAGAGCCGCCACGCGCGCGGCTCGGCCGTGGGGGTGGGAGCCCCCGCCCCCCCCGCCCCGCGGCGCCGTCAAAGCACGTCAGCGCCACCATCATCATCATCATCATCATCATCATCATCATCATCATCATCATCATCATCATCATCATCATCGTCATCATCATCATCATCATCATCATCCTCATCCTCATCCTCATCCTCATCCTCATCCTCATCCTCATCATCATCCTCATCCTCATCCTCATTCTCATCTTCATCCTCATCCTCATCATTGTCATCATCTTCATCGTCATCATCATCATCATCATCATCATCATCATCATCATCATCATCATCATCATCATCTTCATCATCATCATCATCATCGTCATCTGCATCAGCATCGTCAGCAGCAGCAGCAGCAGCATCATCATCATCATCATCATCATTATTATTGTCAGCATGGTTCGCCCGCCAGGGCCATGCATCAGCATGGGAAGGGCCCTTGCGGCGCTACGCCAGTTGATCCGTAAGGGCTTCGTCCCATGCCGCCGGCCCCCTGTCTCGGATAATGGGAGATGCATGGGCGCCGCTTTGAAGTAGTGTCGGGACCTGTTTGTTTTTCGACCCTGACCCCGCCGATCTGTGTGAGGGGTGCTTCTGAAGTTCAAACATGTGGCAAATCCCTTGTGTTTTTGGACCCTGTCCCTGCGGATCTGCGTGAGGGGTGACGCCGAACTTTAACATGTGACACATCCCCTGTGTTTTTGGACCCTGACCCCGCCGATCTGCATGAGGGGTGCCACCGAATTTCAGGAATGTGGCAAATCCCATGTGTTTTTGGACAATGACCCCGCCGATCTGCGTGAGGGGTGCCACCGACTTTCAGACATTTTGCAAATCCCATACGTTTTTGGACCCTGACCCCGCCGATCTGCGTGAGGGGTGCAACCGAATTTAAGACATTTTGCAAATCCCTTGTGTTGTTTGACCCTGACTTCGCCGATTTGCTTGAGGTGTGCCGCCGAATTTTCAGGAATGTAGCACATCCCCTGTGTTTTTGAACCCTGACCCCGCCGATCAGCGTGGGAGGTGCCACCGAATTCCAGGAATGTGGCCTCTGAAGTTCGGAAATGGTGGCCTGGTCAGACAAGCCACGCGCAGAGGGGGGTGGGGGGGAGGGGGGAGGGCTTCTTTGAAGCACCCCTGCTTCTAAGAAGGCGCGGGCCTTACGTAGGTGTAAGGCCGGCGCCTTCTAAGAAGCAGCCTCCTCCTGAGGAGCCCTCCCCCCTTCCTCCACCCCCTGTGCGCGCCGCCAACGATCGCTCTCCTGCCTCGCTGCTGCACGCCACCCCGCGCCCCTGCGCCGCTCCAGGCCGCTGCCCCGTGCCGTCTCTTTGCTTTCAGCTGCTGCGCGCCTCGCGAGGGGCGCTTCACGCGCCGGGGCCCGCGCCGCGACGAGCGAGCGCCCCGCCGTGGGGTCCGCGCCGCGAGCTCAAAGAAGCGCCCCGGATCGGCGGCGCGCGCGCAGGGGGGAAGTGGTGGTGCGGGGGGGGGGGGGGCAAGCCTGCTCAGAATGAAGGGGCCCTGACCCCGCCGATCTGTGTGAGGGGTGCCTCTGAAGTTCGAACATTTGGCAAATCCTTTATGTTCCCGGAAAGGGCTCGAGCCCAGGGTTCTCTTTTAGTTGGTAAACCTAATCCCCCGGTGCCAACTTGAAGGAGGCCGGCGGATTTTTTCCCTGATAAATATCGAGGTCGAAGGAGGCCGGCGGATTAAAATTTGAGGATGTCTCGAGCGAAACGCTTGTTTTTGAAATCCCGATCGATAAATCACAGGGTGCGGGCCACTTTTTCGTGTGTTGAGGATGTCTCGAGCGAAACGCTTGCTCCGCAGAGTTTGCCGAGGATGTCTCGAGCGAAACGCTTGTTTTGCAGAGCCGACCGCGACGCGGAAAAGCGCCCCGCGCGAAGGAATTTCGATGATGTCTCGACTAATTCCTTTGTTTTTGTACGATTTCCTGGAATTTTGGCAGGATGTCTCGAGCGAAATGCACGACCCCACCCTAGCACGACCATACCCCAGCACGACCACACCCCAGCACGACCAGACCCCAGCACGACCCCACCCAGCACGACCCCACCCCAGCACGACCATACCCCAGCACGACCACACCCCAGCACGACCCGACCCCAGCACGACCCTACCCCAGCAAGACCACACCCCAGCACGACCACACCCCAGCACGACCTCACCACAGCACGACCACACCCCAGCACGACCACGCCCCAGCACGACCACGCCCCAGCACGACCACGCCCCAGCACGACCACCCCCCAGCACGACCACCCCCCAGCACGACCACCCCCCAGCACGACCACCCCCCAGCACGACCACCCCCAGCACGACCACACCCCAGCACGACCACTCCCCAGCACGACCACACCCCAGCACGACCACACCCCAGCACGACCACACCCAGTCGCACCCCCGTGGAATGTTTCGTGGCGTGTCTGGTTGAGTGGTTGCCTGTTCGTGGGGTGTCTCGTGGAATGTTTCACGGGGTGTCTCGTGGAATGTTTCGTGAGGTGTCTCGTGGAATGTTTCGTGAGGTGTCTCGTGGGATGTTTCGCGGGGTGTCTCGTGGGATGTTTCGTGAGATGTCGCCCAGTTGGGTATCGTGAAAACGTGACCATGCTGCACATGTCTTTATCCCTTTCCGGGTTCGTGGGTCCATCATGTTTTTGG